ATATCGATACAAAACCATTATTTATTGACGATTATGAATGACTTTAAAAAAAAAATAATATCTGGGTTTCTAAAATGTACTTTGTATCATTTTGGATGCATTATTTAGGTATAATTATTAATTTATTTGTCTTTTTCTAAGTTTTCTGCCATTTAATCCAAGTATTATACCTTTTATTTACTTTTTTAATGATGGTCATAGTTTTTATAAAGGTGCTCCATGGGTGGGGTATCTTGATACAAGTTTCTAATTTTTGTTAAATAAAACACGATTAATTATATATATAAATAAATACTATAAATAGTATTTAATTTATCAATTAGAGAAAGATCCTAGAATCTCTTCTCCAAATAGGTATAAAAAAGAACGAGTATTATGTTTGAGGGAAGCATACCTACAAAGCTGACTTTACCTCAATTATGACAAAAATTTTAAATTCATAACAGCTGTATTATTTTCATGCGTATTCTTAGAGATTCTTCGAATGCTATCAATAATAAAAAAAAATTGAAGAATATCTTAAGAAATCTTGTATTTATTCAGCTAACTATAAATGTGATTTTTTCTGGCCTTTCTTATTAGGAAATTCTACTATATCTAATTTTAATGTTTGTGATTTTTCGTTCTCTATTGCCAAAATTGCACAATGTTCGAGACAAGCGAGACTTTATAATGTTTTGATTAAATTTAATACGCTGAATAATCTTTCTGCTCAAGGTTAAGAGTCCTGTTTACTAATTATGTGAATCTATTGAAAAATTAAACTTAAAAACCCAATAAAACCATTTTTTCAAACTTAAAACCCAATAAAACCATATTTTTATTATTATTAATACAAATAACGTTTAGATAAATGAATAACAAATATGTACATCTGGACGATTATTTGTCATTTAGCACATTTGAGGTGAATAGATATACTCTCGCGTGCTTAATTCAAAGAAGGTTTTGGGGGGGGGGGGGATTTAAGCCTATGATCCTAAATAGTAATTGTGACTTTTACAACAACTTGTCTGATAATAATTATCGCCAAATTTCTATTTTCCCTATTTTTTCAAAAAAAATACTATATAGCAATCAATCTTGCCTTACCCAAGCTCCGAGAACTGATTTCGTAAAAAATAAATAGTTAAGTACAGAATATAAAATTGTTACCAATATACATTAAATAAGACTTTCTTTATGAAAAGATGAAACAAAAAGTTACAAGGGAATAAATAAAGAGAAGACTATAAAAATATCAAAATTTTTAAACACTTTTTTAATTTATCAATTTTTAAATAAGCAAACAATGTTTTAAACTTGATTTAAAATAATGATATAATTCGTGAAAAAAAGTGAAATTTCAAATTCCTATAATTTAAATTGAAAACTAGGTAGTTTTAAAATAAGTTTTGGGGTGTATATAACTGTCATTTGAAAATCTAGTTAAGTATATGTTCTGACTACTTAAAATCTACTACAAGTCGCATAAAAAATTACTTTGTTCAAAGACCAACAATCTTTTTGATATAAAAGAACTAACAAATAGTTTGAGAAGTAAGAATCAATTACTGTAAAAAACATTTTCAATAAGATGTCGTCTATAATGTTCATAATGCAACTAAATCATGTTTTTCCAAACAAAATCAAAATTTAAGGTCAAAATATTTGTGAAGGTTTAAAATTTTATTACTTTGAGATATTTCAAAGGCACTGAAGTATAACTAGTTACCAAAATATTTTTGTAAAATTTTATAATTAAATTACTTAGCAATATTTTAAAAGCATGGGAAAGGCTAAGGAAGTTTTAAAGGAAATAAAGAAATTAATTATAAAAGCTGTGGGAAATAAAATGGCTTACAGGCAGATTTCTGAATTTTACAATGTTTCTAAACCAGGAATAAGTCTCGTTATGAAAAGATTTTGTCTGCGCAAAACTATTGAAAGCAATCCTTGCTCTGAAAGACCTAAAGTTACAACTGATAAGTCTGATAGATTATTAGTAAGGTGTTCCAAAATTAATTTTCGCAAGTCTGCTGTCTAACTTCATTTATGCATCGTTTCATGACACAAACTGTAGCGTCGGTACAACTAAACGTTAATTACGAAAAAATAATCTCTATGGCAGTCGTTCTGTTAAGAAAACGCTAATAACTGCAAGAAATTTAAAAACCAGAATAAAATTTGCAAAATATTATATTAGTTGGTCAGTTAATGACTGGTCAAAGGTCTTTTTTTCTGATGAATCAAAGTTTATGCTATTCAGTAATGACGGAATTAAGAATGTTCGGCGCCCAGTAGGAGACAGATTAATCCAAAATATCAGTTACCCACCGTAAATAAACGGGACCCATTGTGGGTCCCGTTCATTACATAGAAAGTATTATGGACCAGAGAGTTTATTTAGACATTATAAAGAATGTTATGCTACGTATATACATGAAAAGCATAAAATAAATCGCAAATAGATCTCACTACAAGATAATGATTCAAAGTGCCAGATCTGTTAAGGAATATTTAAAGTCACAAAATTTTTTTATTCTCAAATGGCCTTTACAGAGCCCAGATACTCTTTTAAAGCTCAAATCTGAAAATCATGTCATCTCAATCCTATTGAGCATCTTAAGGAGTCAATCCTATTACCATCTCCACCCTACTGAAAATCATGTCATCTCAATTCTATTTAGCATCTTAAGGAGTACATGGACTAGCAATTAGTTGGTAGAAAAACTACTAACAAAGTCCATTTATTTAATTATAACTAGATTCAATGCCTCGTCGCTGTGATGCTTTAAAGGCAAAATGGGTACACCACCAAATACTAAGTGTTTTATTAAAACAATTTTATTGTTAAAAAATTGTTATTTTGTGAATTTTAGTAAAAGTTTCAGCTTTTTTGAAATAAATATTGAAATAAATATTAATACATATATATATATATATATATATATATATATATATATATATATATATATATATATATATATATATATATATATATATATATATATATATATATATATATATATCTCATCTCGAATATAAGCAGGATGAAAAAAAAAAGTAAGTAATGAATTAAGCGTTCAACTCTAAATATAAAAGTAACTTTGCATGTACTATTTTGCAGTCACTTCAATGGTCAGGAAATCCGTGTTTCAGGTTCGTTTTGCTAAGTTTTCAATGTATTTTCAAAAAACAATTAAAAAAAAAACTTTTGAAAATATTTGTATAATTTTAATTTCCTAAGCTTTTACTGGTTAGCAGGTAACAAACTTTTAAAATAATTAAACTGATCGGGATGTTTATTTAGTAATTTAGAGCATGGGTTGTATTTTTGGTCAAGGTGTCAAAAAGGAAAGCGTAAATAATCACAATTTTAAAAATTACATTAATTTTATGACGTAAACATCGTTTTGGTATTTTATAAACAAATTAGTTAATGTTGTCTTTCTTATTCAATTGCTAGTGTAAGTTGTTGTTGGTTTAAATCAAAAGATGATTTCATCCAGTTAAATGTTTCAATGTTTTGCTTTTAATCATAATTACTTTCACTTTTTGCTAATCGACGAGCAACTTAGTTCTAATTGCAGTTTTTTATTTCTTTAGAGAAAGAGTTGAGCAGCCGTAGCGCAGTGGTTAGTGCGCAAGCCTTAGAAGCTAAAGATCCATGATTCAAAGCCACCTCTGGGCAAGTTTTATAACATCGGTAAGGAAAGAAGCGTTAACTTCCTTTCCATAAAAAAAAAAAAAAAGTTCATAATAAATTAAAAAAAAAAAAATTGGTTATGTTACGATATACGCATTTGTGACGCTTGATACTTGTTTTAGAAGCGCGACAAATTGGCTTTAGTTTAAGAAACCTTGAATTTTCATCAGAACGTCCATAACTTGCAACAACAAACATGTTTTACATTTAAATATGAAAGCTTTAAATTCTCAATAGAAATTAATCACTTCAAATCACGGCGATGAATAAAAGCAGTGCTGCTATCATGCTTCTTAGATCTAATAGCAACGTATAGTCCAGCTTATGTCTAAAAACAACTAGAAAATCATGATTGGACAAAAGTACTTGACAATTAAAATGCATCAAATTTAGTAACTGTTTTGGTACAGCTGCTAATCCTAATGGTACTTTAGCTTTGTCGTTTACTTTTTGAATAAAAAATATATGTACTTATACACAACCACCCATTGAAATCTTTTTATATTTTGAGAGTCATTAGATATATAAGCTATTTTCAAAAAAGTATGTATCAACAGTGTTAGTGCGTTTTCAAAGCAGGTGAGATTTTGACACATGATTTTCAGATTTGAGCTTTAAAAGAGTATCTATTTCTCAAAAGTACAGAATTTGTTACAAAATACCTCCAAGGTGGTTTTGAGTAATAGGAAAAAATTTCTTAGAGACTTAAAAAGTTCAATTTTTTTATAACATGCTAAAAAAATTGATATTACATTTGCTCATAAAAATTCAGCATTCCTTTTTTTTTAATCAACTTTTATGACTGCGTGAAAGTGTTACATCCAAACATAAAAACTTAGAGAAATAATCAAGCGAACAATTTGTGAACAGCTTTGAATTATGGTTTCAAATGGTTTTTTACCCTGAAATAATTTGAATATATCCATGAAAATTTAAAGAAAATCCAAGAACCTATTTTAAGTTGCAGATTTTGCATCATTCTCATAAAAAACCATTCCTAAATAAAGTTTTTATATTAAACTTAAAATAAATTTAGTTATATTAAACTAGTTTTTTTTTTTTTTTTTTATTTGACTCACTTTTTACACAGCATAAAAAATATTATTTGATTGTTGATGTTATTTCTTGTTAACTTTTTTCGTAGTTGTGAGTGTGCAAATAATAAAAAAATATTTCAAATATTTCAAATACCCATTTTATAGTTTTGATTTTTACGTTTATAAAATAAATACCAAATAAAAAATTTCCTCACTGCATGAAAAATTTCTAAGAAACAAACCCACTATAAAGAAAAATTAAAAACAAAATGAGCTCTGTTTCTAAAATTGTATTTACTATTATAATTTAGAAATATTTTTGGAGAGATTCTCCAGTGATAAGTTCGATTTGTTTAATGACTTTCTTACATTGCGCCTCAACTTCGAAAGAATCATCTGAAAAAGAAAGTTTCATAGCATAAAGCAAAGTGGGAATACAAAAAAAATTGCTGACATTGTATAAACAATCAACATACCTTCAAGAACTTCAGCCAAAAATGGTATAGTTTCTGGAACAAGGATCATGTAACTCTCCCCTATCCTATTGTAGATGTTCTCGATTATTTGAAGTGCTGCCAGACGAACCTTTTATGAAAAATTAGTTGACTATTAATGCAAAATTGTAGTTTTATTTACAAAAATGTAAAATTTTATGCAAACTATGCAAATTTTGCAAATTAAAATTTTATGCAAATTATGCAAATTAATGCAAATGCAAAATTGTAGAATTTTATTTGCAATTTTAAAAATTACAGAACTTACATTTGCTTGAGAACTTTTTGTTTTTAGCAAAATTTGATGATTTAGTGGTTTCCATAAAGAACTGTCATTAACAGCACAGGTAAAGTTTACTATACAAGGGAGAAGATGTTTTTCAGCAAATAAAGTAAACGCTTCATCCAAAAACAATGAATTATCTAACTATATAAGAATAAATTTAAAAACATATTATTTAACTATGTAAGAATAAATAAAAAAAATATTTAACTGACTGATATGGGGATTTAGGTGGATTTAATGTTTTTCGAAATTAGGCTGGCCTGTGTTTCGGGATCATTGTTTTTTAGTAAAACAATAAACAATTTATTTTAAATGAGATATTGAGGTTATTCCAGGAACTAAGATTATTGTGGATTCCTAATATAAGGAAAAAAACTATATCAACCTTGTACTCAAGGTTTTAATTTTAATTTATGAAAATTAAAAACAACAACAACAACAACAAAAAGCGAAAATATAACTGATATTGTTGCTTTTTTGCAAATAATATAGAAAACAATTTAAAAAAATTAATTCAAATTTTATAATTTTAATTTTGAATAAGATTAAATATTTTCAAAATCAGCATAAATTTCTGCATCTTTTCGAAATTTTCGCTAATATCAAAAAGACCCATCAAAATATTTGTGCTCGATAAGGAACTTTAAAAACTCATTTATATCCCAAATTATTTATTTACTTTTCTGTTATAAGTAATACGTAGTGAGCCATAAAGACCATCAGGATCGAAATCTCACCACCTCAGATTTTTTTTTTTTTTTTTAAGTAACCTAAGTTTGTATAAGTGTTTTTCAAGTGCAAACCAAATCTGAACTCAATCAGAAGAGTTAGTAATTTAAGTTTAAAAAAAGTAAAAAGGACTAAAAATTTAGCAATAAAAATGATGTAATCCACCATTTTCGGCTTCGTTTTTAAAAATAAACTTCAAATGATAAGAAAAATAGTTAGAGAAAAACCCACAGAGCGGTAAAAATGGCGGATTTGAAGCAGTCTGTTTGTGCAGTTAGTTTGGAAAAAAAAGGCGAATATTCAAAATCGTTATCAAAAGTACAACTATCTATAGCAAATAAAATCAAAGAGTATATTTGGCCTGAGTACAATGAAGATTTCATTGTTTGCCTTGATGTAATATGTTCAAATTGTAGAAGAAACATATTTTTGCTGGAGAAGGGAGCAAGTACTTATCTGTCAAACTAGACGAGTAAAGTATCTCAAGTACAAGTAAATGATTAATACATAAATAAATAAAAATAATTTTTTATAAAATATATGCTTCTGAATTAGGCTGACAGGCCAAGAATTATAGGCAGTACTGAACTTAGTAATATTGTTCAACCATCTCGTGGTAAAACACAAGCTGTAGAATCTCCAAAGGAAAATATATACAGTTACTGCTTTTCTCTCCTTGCAAGAGGTTTACAAATAAATATTAAATTATTTGATAAGTAAATAAAAAGTTGTCAAATATTTATGTATACATACATATTTAATTATAATTATGTAAACTGTAAACAATATGTAGAATTATACATAATTAGTTTTTTTTAATTATAATTTATATAACTTCAATAAAAAAAAAAAATTTATTTTTAAGCTTAACAATTTTATATGAATTTTATATTTAATTTTATTCTTCAGGAGGCCATAACAATTGTAGTTCTGGTCAGGCTGTTTTAAACCTAATTAATTTGTCAGAAAACCTTGATTCCACATCATGTGAGAAAGTTGCTTCAGGCATAATTAAAAACAAGATAAAGCGAGAAGGCATAGAGAGAGGCCAATCCTTTAAAATATCTACAGGTAGCTAAGTTTTTTATATTCATTATAAAATTGTTGATAAAAGATTTAGATGTTCATATAGTCTATATTATATATTATATATATTATAAAACTTAAAGGCATACAAAAATAGATATGAGGCATATAATTTAACAAATTATTTTAATTGCTGACTTTTTTGAAATATTTGTGTTTTAACTTTAGTTATGGTAAAAAAATATATTAAATTTAGTTATACTTTATTTTTAAGGTGGGAATCCATTAACTTTAACAGTTGGAACTAAAGATAATAAATCTTCCAAAAAGTTTTTCAATTGGATATCATTCCAAACAGTTACGAAGTTAACTTCTATACTGGAATTAACAAAAAATCAAAATCAAAAAAAATGATATCAAGTCTGCATAAGAATCTAGAGTCGTCTACTGTTGTTGAGAACAATGTAGTTAGCATTGCAACAAGAAATTGAGTCTAAATATAAAATAGAAAAAGATGATTTTATTTGGAATGATGAAACTGTAACAAGAGATATAGTATTTATTCATGACACTTCTGAATTTATTCTTAGTATTTTAATGGAAAGAGATTTAGATCCTCTTTCCAGTATGGTACGTGTATCCAATGATGGAGGTCAAGGATTTCTTATAGTAATTGTAAATGTCTTTGACAAGACCAATAAAAATGAGATACACATCAACAGTGGAGTTAAGAAGTGTTTTATACTTGCTATTGTTAAAAATATTTTTGAAGACCATCACCATGGAAATTTGCAGAAAATCTTGAGTAGATTAAATCTAGATGATGTTACGTATCACCTTGCATTTGATTTAAAATATGCTAACAGCATTTTTGGTTTATCTTCTCATTCTGGTAAATATGCCTGCTTATGGTGTGAAGGTGAATGTACCCTAGAAAGTGGTATTCCAATAACGTTAGGTTCTCTTGATCATTGGTACAAGTTATTTGTTGAAAATGGGGCCAAAGCGATTGCAGATGAAAGATTTTAAAAATGGGATTAGTCCTCGTCTTGTTTATTCTGATAAAAACCCTGAAGTTCACTTAGTTCCACCACTAGAACTACATCTTCTTATGGGGATTGTGACACTACTTGGTAAACTACTTTTAGATCATTAGCCTCTGTTTATGAATTGGCTCAAAGAGCATTATATTTTACTTCGAGGTTATCATGGGAAAGGGTTTAATGGCAATAATACCACAAAACTTTTAGAAAAAGTAGATATTTTAGAAAAAGATAATTTAGCATCTCAAACTAATTTGATACCTGTTGTTCATTGCCTCAGAAAGTTTTCAAAAGTTAAAGAGTGAACATTTGGACAAGAATTAGACAGTAATGTTTGTTTAGTTATTGAAGAGTTCAAAGTATCATTTTTTGACCTTCAGCAGTATGCAAAAATATATTTAAATACACAGCTGAGTATTACTTGGGAAGTACATATAGTGGTCATACTCTCCCATTTGTGAAATTTAATACTTGTTATCTTAGATCATATGCTGAACAGACTGAAGAGGCTGTTCACAGCGCCTTTAAACCAAGTTGGTCTCAATATAAACGAAGAATCGGGTATATAGATTAAGGTAAACAATTAAAATCTGCCACTGCCACTTTTTGCATAGATAAGATGTAAATATTTCAATATATAAGTAGTTGTGTTAATATTTTTATTGCATTCATTGTTTTGTCCTTGTTATTTTTCCTTTGTATTATTACTATAAGGGATTCTGATGTATTAGAAGTTGAAACCATTTTAAGTTTGAAGTTATATGTTATATTATAATACTTTAAAGAGGATATTAAAAGATATTGATTTTTAAAATAATAATAGAAGGGGTTACTTTTTTAGGGGGTAACTTTATCGCTTTAAGGGGGTAAATAGGGTTAAAAAATTAAGTTTTTTTGGTACTTCTAATCTACTTTAGATTTATCCAATACACAAAAACAAGGTATTTAAGCAGCATTAATCTAAATATAAAAAAAATTAGAGGTGGGGAGAAGTTTAACCTGGCAATCTTTATGGCACACAGTGAATAGAACACCAAAAGCGTCTCAGAAAAATTTATTTTTTTTAACTTTTTTGCTATGAAAACTGCTCCACCCTAATGGGAATGTTATTGTGTTTTATTACATATTTGTTAACTCTTTTTCACAAAGAACTACTCTTAAAAATATAAATAATATATTGAATACAGTACTTAAAAGAAAAGTATGATTTTAGTGTCTAAGTAGATGTCTTACAAAGTATTTTATTGTTAATATACTTAAAAAAATTTATTTCCTGATTTAACTTTTTTATTATTTAATAAAAAGCAACGGTTTTAAGCGCTTTGCAGTTTTTAGTATTAAAATTTTAGTATGTCATGTTTTGTAAATATAAATTTATATATTTAAAAAGTTTTTTTACTTACCTCTTTTGTTGATATGAATACTTGTTTTCAAAATTTATTATTTAAATGTCATTTTTATATGTGGTCCTAAGTCTCTAGTATTAGAAATGTTAAAAATGTGGCCTTGATTTAGTACTCAAAATCTTTTGTGTAAACCATTAAATTTTAACATTAAAAGTGTGGCCTTGATTTAGTACTCAAAATCATTTGTCTAAACCATTAAATTTTTATGGACTTAGAGCATCAAAATTAGAAGTATTTACTTTGAAAATTGTAAACTTTATAAAATATTGTGACGAAATATCAAAATAGTAACAAATTCAAATTAAAACAAAAATAATGTGAAAATAAAAAAATTTGAAACTACCTGATCAACAAGCGGTTGCATGATAGATTCAAACCTTTCTTTGTTGACAAATCCCTGATTGTCGTACTTAAATACATTTGATAAAACATCAAGAACAGCTTCTATTAAATCATTTTTCTTTTTTAAATCTGAAGTATTTGCTATAAATATAAATAAGTATAAATAAATATAAATAAGTATAAATAAATATAAATAAGTATAAATAAATATAAATAAGTATAAATAAGTATAAAAATAGTTTAACTACCAAAGACAGAGTAAAAAAGAATGCAAAAAATTTAGATCTCTTTCATTTTATTAACTAAAATTAAAATATTAACTATAACTTTTGAAATGCAAAAAATGGATAGTAAGTTGGGATAGGAATAAAACACTATAATATATTTCTTAGTTTAATTAGCCTTTCGATAGTTTACTAGTGGCTTCTGTCTCCCGTGGCCTCAGCCATTAAAACATTTTGCTTTCAAAAAATATTCTGGGCAGCAATAAAATGTCAGCTCATTTTTATTTATTACACATTTTACGAAATGTACGAAAATTTCTTGATTAAACTTCGATTATTTCGATTATTTCGATTAAAAAAGGGGACAAACAGATGGACAAATAAGAAAAAGACACAACAGAAGGACAAATAAAAAAAGGACACAAAACAGCTAGAAAAAAAGAGAAAAAAGAGCACAAACAGTAGAATAAATAAGAAAAGAACCCACAACAGACGGACAAATAAGAAAAGGACACACACACAAGAGAAGTATAAATAACAACATAAACACACAAGTAGAAAAACAAGAGTATACAAAAAAATTGGCATTAGGAAAAGAGAGAATCAAAATCATACATAAACAGAGAGATAATATTGTATAAGAAAAGGCTAGTACTAAAACAGATTGAATAAAATTTATTATTATAAAAATTTGCCAAAAACATATTTGATATTTTAAAGCCATTTAAGTAATATGAAAATAAAAACAATTTAGAACATTATTGGGACGTCAACGGTATTGTTTACTTTCCATTAAAATACTTATACTTATCCAAAAGCATTGATATGAAAACTAATATGAAAGTACACCAGAAAATTTTTTTCAGAATACTTTTTAATTTTTTTCTTTTCTCTTATGTCCCCTAAGGTTCAAAATAAACAGAAACAAAATCTGTAGCCAAACACTTTTTTTAAAATTTAACTCAAAAACACTTTTTTTTAAATTTATTTAGAGTTATTTAGAGTAAGGTTCGACAATAGGCTTATTTTTAAAACAAAATCTCACTCTATATATGCTTATAAAAATAACATGTAACATACCAATCACCTTTAATCAATTAAAAAAAAAGTCTTGAATCAAGTAAAAAAATAAATTACATGGTGTTTGATCATGCTATACATTTTTGAAATAAGTACTGCATACATATTTGTTATCATGCCATATGAGATATGTATTATATATTAACTATAATGCCATATGAGATATGAACTGCATACATATTTATTATCATGCCATATGAGATATGTACTAAATACATATTTGTTATCACGCCATATACATTTTACATATACCTAAAAAGTAAAATAAGATTTTATATATAATAAAATATATTAATGAATGATTGAGTGAATAAATGAATTGTTTGTGATATAACTCAACACTTTACAGTTTTTCTAATATGGGTCATCTTCACAATTTAGAGAAATGAGTATAAAGCTCATGGTAATCTTATTCTATCTGCTTTTATTATCAATAAAAATGTATACTGAGTGATCCTTGTTTGTCAACACATAAGATGCAAATACATATTTTGTAAATAAGTTGAATATGACACTTTCTTTTATAGTTATCATTATAAAAATGTTGTTGTGATCAAATGGCCACAAAGAATTGCCTACTACTAAATTTTTTTGCAAAAATGTTTAATTTTCTTTTTCTCATGTGTCTTGTTTTGTCTTAATCATTAAATTTATTGTTTAACACCATATCTAATAAGTAGCTTGAATACATTTTAAGACTTTAAAAACTTGATTTCTTTTATTTACAGAGGTTCACTGTCAGACACTTTGTTATGCACCAACATAACAATTTTTTTTAGTTAATTTACTTTTTATAGTTTGACAAACTTTGCTGTAATTACATAACCTTTTGTGTAACAATAATAAGCAAAAATAAAGCTATTGAAAATAGGAGAACAAAACAAATATCACCTTAACTTCTTATTTTATTTAAAAGCCATATAAAATAATTTATATAACATACTCTATATATTTACTCTATATATTTTACTTACATATCTAAAACCTTTTACATACTTTTTTAGAAACTAAATGCTTTCCTATTCAGAGGTCTATACCCATAAAGATTCTTTATTCAGAATCAGCCCTTAGAATTAGAGTCAGCATTTGTTAATGCCGAACCAAAAGCGTTTGAGGTCAGCAAATTATTTCTTACAAACATTTTCTCCAAAAATTGGAATATAATTGCTTGAATTTTTATTCTTTTTTCTTTCTTGAAATCAGTGCATAAATTCTGACGTTTTTTTCCAGCTGCAAAATAAACACTATCATTTTGCATAAGAATTTCTTTGCATGACTTGCCATCATTGTGATCCCTCTCTCTAATCTTTCTCGCTTGTAGAGAAGTTTTTAATAAACCAGCCATGACATGTTTTTTAAGTGGAAATAGTGATACCTGGTTTTTATGATCTATTTACCAATTTTTAACTTTAATTATTTGTCTTTGTTCATGTTTGAAAGAGAATAGTGCTAACAGGATCATTTTGTTGGTGAGACATGTATTCCTACAATAGTCATTCCTTTCCCCCTCCCCATAATTTTTTTTTAATTTGATCTTTTATATCCTTAATCATATTTAAGGAGTTGATTACAGCATCTGCTGATTTTTAGTAAGAAAGTGTTTGTATAAATCAGAAATGTAAAATTAAAGAATATGTTCAATTATAGCAATTGTGGAGAGAAAAGGTATTTTTTATATCAACATCAAGTTTTGTTGAAAGACTTCAATCTCCAGTAAAATTTCTTTTAGTTTGCAAAGTTTCAAATGATCACTTTTTAGTTGTCTTTTCATTTACAATAGTTTATTAAGAACAAATTTTCAGACGACATTTTTCTTCTGTACAAACCAAGAACCCTGAAATTGTAGCAGCTTTTCCATTTTTCTTGTAATTTCAGCCAAAAGTTTGTTTGTAGGCTCATAAACACTGTTAAACCAGAAAATCATTTTTTTTCCAAGCAATAACTTTCAAGATAACACTGGATAGATTTATTACTTTTAATGCATACAGTTTTTGCGACAATTGAATCCCAGCAAGTAGATTTGGTACAAAAGGGTAGGTAAAAGAGTAATGCATTTTTTTGTTTGTTTGTGAATCAGTTGTTTTTAATTTTAAGTTTTAAATTTTAAGAATCCTCAAAAACATCAAGGGAAAGATTCCAGAAAAATTATCAGCAAGCCTTTAAGACTGTTTTTGCTTTATATTTGCAAGAAAGTTTTCATCATGTAGAAGAACTGCATACTGTGATGCTTCAAATTTCCCTGTCTAATGGTTGTTCTTTTTATAATTTGAATTTATAAAATGAGCAGCCGTGGCGCAGTGGTTAGAGTTCTGGCTCAGAACCCAGAGGTCCGAGGTTCGACGCCAGCTCTAGCCCAACAAGTGACATTGGTACGGAAGGAGGCGTGATCTTCCTGTTAAATGCTCTCCCGCGGTGCTCTATGATAAGACCGTAAGGACTTCTGGGAGCACCTAAATACATACAAAAAAAAAAAAAAAAATTTCTGGTGAATTCAATAGTATTTGAAGAAGTAAAATTGCTAGTTCGCAATTTTAGCACAATCTACTTCTTACACTTTCTGAGTTATAGAAAATGTTTCTAGAAAGGGTTTCTTTCAAGGTAAAAAATTTAATAAAAGTAATTCTAAAATGGTAGAAGCTTATAACTTTGATGAAAAATCTTAGAATTTTTGACTTTATACAACCGAGAAAATTGAAATCTGTGTCTTGTGCATTCTTGTTTAGGATTTTAATTGACTTTTAGGAATAAAAATTGTCAATTAACCTTTTGACATTCTCTTTATGATTTTTTTTTTTTGACTTAGGGAATAATTATAGTCGGTTAGTGTTTATAATTTTTTTAAGATGATCTTTGATTAAGTAAGAAGTCAATAACTTCTTTGAAGCTGAAGAACAACAGTAATCATTGAATCAATCAACATCATAAGCAGAACAGCATTTTTTTGAATTCATCATGTTTAGCTATTTCACTTAAACTTTTCTATTTAAATTCTCAGAGAAATACAAAATGTTTCAAGCAGTGTGTATTGCCATAATTTTTAGCAGAATTTGTCTTTAATAGCTTTTGCTTTTACCATCATTTCATAAAGTTGATAGAAATTGAAACCTTCATGACTCTATGAGAGCAACTTTAAATGAGCATAAGTCTCACACTGATATGTGTGAAAACTTGTTCCTGAAAATTTATTAATTGATTGTCATATAAGCCATTTTTCTGTACTGTACTTAACTGAAGTTTATATAACTGTGCTGTTATTTTTTTTCTGATATAATCTTCTAGTGAAGATCATAACAGCAAATAAATTACTTCAAGGTTCATATTCATAGTTTATAATGATTTAACTGGTTAATTACTCATACTATTATATTTATAAATATTCGTAAATATTTTTTATATATTAAAAAATTTTGCAAAAAAATCTATTACATTTAGTTTAAATTAAAAAAAATACTGTACTATAAAAAAATAAACTTATCAAAATTGTATAAAGTTTTACAAAAAAATTATCGTATAAACTACACAGTTTTACAACAAAATTATTTCAAAAAGCAACTTACCTATATTTTTTGAATTTAGAGTAACAAGTAATTCTGTGCATTTGTTATATGTATGTCCAAAGAAAATAAGAAACAAACTTTTAAGTGTTTTAGACAGCTCAACATTGAGATGAAAAAAGGTGCATAGTCTTCTTTCCTCTTCACACGACCAATTATAGATCTTAAATATTAATAAATTATTTATTTTTCATTTCAGTAAATTAAATAATGCAAAATAAATTCTTTAATTTTGCAAATAAGATTCAGTAGTTAAAATGGAATATTATTAATAATAGTAAAAATGCAGCTTTTTTTCATTTTTGTGAATTTCTTTAAAATTACTTGTTATGATATACAATTGTCTTTGTATTTTTTATAATGCTGTCTTCACAATATAATTTTTTAATTAAAATAATGTCTATTTCAAAATTTATTTTTCAATTACAAATAGTTAAAAAAATTGCTTTAGAATAAGAGAGCATCCATAAAGTAAACTGGTACTTTTGAACTTCCTCCCCCTTCTACCTATGCTCAAATCAAAACAGTGCATTTTTGCTAAATTAACACCATTTTATTTAATTTGTACACTTTTGGTTAACCATTTCATTTCATACCTGCCTATTTTACGAATGCAAACTTAACCTAAGCAAACTTTTAAGCAGCTAAAAATATAATAAGCAAAAGATAGAGCAAAATAATACTTGCAGGTTAGTGTAAAAATTACCTCAAGGTACATAGGTCTCAAAGTATTTTCGGACAACTTTAGAACCAATTCACAATAAGCTGCAATAGACTTTTTTTCAATAATAATTTCAATATCATCAGTTTCAAAAGAATGAACATCAAACAGCATTTTCAAGATCTTTAAAATAGTTCCTTGAAAATTTGTGTTTGCATCAGCTTTAGAAATAACAGCAAAACTATGCTTCAGCACATCAATAATGCTCGAAACAAGATACTAAAAATATAAAACTATACTTAAATACATCACAGGGTTTAACTAATGGACAATTGCATAAATTTTTATAAAAAAAAATTAAAGAAAAATAAATGTTGATGTTCACTTTAAAATTTAAAAAACAAATGCTGCATTTTCCATTTTTATTTTTAATTTTGTTAGTGCATATATATTTTACATTTAAAAACATTTAATATTTTAAGAACGCCAAGAGACCAAGCAAAAACAAGCTAAAGCATGCAAAAAACTGGTTTCTTTTGTATGTTGTAATAATTTATAAATTCATTTAAAGCATTTGCAAACAATTTATTCCTTAACTTTTAAACTTACTTTAAAATTTATAGCTGTAAATAATAAATAAGCATATAATATAAAAGTAATTTTACATCAAATCATGTGTTTTCCTTTTGGTTTCATATTTTGACGCTTGATTCATACAGAGAGATGAGTATTGATTCATACAGAAAAATTATTAGTGAGGTATAAAATTATGTTAAAATTTCAGATTTAATACTTTTATGATTAAAAATTTGTCAGAATTTTTTTTTTTTATTTGGTCAAAATGTTAAAATTTCAGATAAAATAAAGTTTTTGATTTGATACTTTTATGATTATTTTAAAGGAAAAAAAAAAAAAAAAAGTTCTGACAATTTTATATTAAAAAACAAAAAAGATTATAAATGGATTTAAGCTTACACACAAGAAACTATTCTTTTTGAAAACCCATAAAAACCAGATTCTTGTATTAGCTAAGAAATATGTAAACATGCCATTATCATTCTGAATAATACATTTTTCAGACTGATAAGTAAAAATTCAATCTTGTGTAAACCGATAAAATTCAAAAATTCGGAAAAAGAAAGATGAATCATTCACACTTTAATTTTTCATGCATAAATTTCGTAAAGGCAATTTTATGACTGGATTTATTGATAGACATTGAGGTTCATGTCAACAGTTTTTATAAACTATCTTCTGGCCCCTGAAAAAACTTGGAAGAGATTTTATCTTCTAAGAAGACAATGAACCTATGCACATGTTAAAGATAGCAAAAGATTTTTTATCCAGAATGATAGCAAAAGATTTTTTATCCACTTAAATGGCTTTTTAATCTTGCTATCTTATCTTTTGCTGTCTTTATGTCCAGATCTTAATTCTTTAATTGAATACCTGTGGGCAACTCTGGATCAAAAAACTGGTACACAGTATCTCCACAAAACAAAACTAAAAAACAAATATAAAAAAAAGCTTAATATCATGCTCCAAAAAGCTTGGACTCAAGAGCAGCCATAGCGCAGTGATTAGCGCACTTGCCTCAGAAACTATAGATCCGTGGTTCAACACTTCCTTTAATGGGCAAGTTTAATAACATCAGAAAGGAAGAAAGTGTGAACTTTCTTTTAAATGCTATTCCGCAGTGCTCTGTGATAAGACCTTAAGGATTTTTTGAGGCAACTAAAACAATTACTTAAAAAAAGTTGATCCAGATCCATTATGTTGAATTAAAGCAAAATCATCATGCAGAAGTCATAAGCGCTTAGAGTGGACCAATTCAATATTCAAAAATAAATAAACTCGGATAAGTCTAACCTCCAAAATTTGGTATATATACTTATATAATTTTGAATATTTGTATTGTCTGAAATTATGACTTTAATTTCAAAGATTAACTTTTTTTAAGAAATTACTAAAATATAAAATGAATTAATTTTAATGCAACAAGTTACAAGAAAACATACACGATGGAGATTTTTTTGGATACTAAAGATACCATTTTGGTTGTACTACTTAGATTTCAGTTTTTCAAACATTTTTACTGGAACTGAAGCAAGCTGGTGAAAAATATTTTCAATGATTGTGTTGGTATTAAAACAATCTCTTTGTGCTAAAACAGAAAGATGGATTTTTTGGATGGAGGAAAATAATTTCAGCATCACTTTCTTCCATGTTGGTTTTAGTTACAATGCTGATTCACTTTAATAACTTCAGTACTGTCTTGCACAAACAATAGTAAACAAAGGTTTTTTGCACATTAAGAAATTTTGCTTTTAAAATATTTACGATTAATTGAAATAAACAATTGAAATTTTATTAATCTAGTTTTTTTTTCCAATTTTTTCAAATTTCAAGTTATACTTCAAAATCAACTGAGCCATAAAATATTGAAAGGGAATCTTCTTTAAAGGGAATCTTCTACATCTTTAGGTAAAACATTTAAAGGGAATTTTCTACATCTTTAATAAAATTATATATGATTATGTTGAGAAATATATGTTATAAAAAGATAAAAAAAGATTTTTTTGTTAAAAAAGGGGTATAGCGTACTTTGCTAACTACTTTGTAGCTGTCAAGTTATTTTGCACTTCTGTGTCGACCAACTTTGTAGTGTAAGTAAACAAAATCAATTGGAGTAAAAAATTTAAAATGAAAACATGAGATAAAGTTATGAATTCTTAAAGAAAAAGCGGCAGACCAAGGCCAAAGCCAAATTTGCGGGGGGAAGGGGGGGAAGGTACTTTTAGGGAGGTAGAGAGTACTCAAAAAAAGCGTACGTACTTTATGGACAATCCCTAACAACTCTGGCAAAAAGCAAACTTGAAGTTTGAAGTTGAATTTCAAATCTGACATTCAAATTTGGCTTAAGCGTAAACATAGAGTGACCTTAAACTTGAGTTATAGTTAAAAATTACTAATTTTTTATTGGTTTTCTAATTAATCTAATATTAGATTAATTGACTAAGAAATCTTATGTTACAAATAGAACTTTAGTTTTGACTTCAAAAAAAGAATAATTAACCATTTTAATTATTAAACCATTATAAAGTTTCTGCTTTAATGTTTTCTTTATTATCTCATAAAATCTGCTTTTTAGATACTGAACAATATATTCTGAAAAAGAACAATGCTTTGCTAAACGAAGTAGATGATGAAATATTGACAAATTTTCTGCTAGGGAAATAGAACAACACCTTAGTTATAACAAATAACATTAAATCTATTTTGTATAATTAAATAATTGTTTATATATATATATATATATATATATATATATATATATATATATATATATATATATATATATATATATATATATATATATATATATATATATATATATATATATATATATATATATATATATATAATAATTTACAAACTTTTATCAATATGTTTCAACAAATAGTGCAAACTTTTATCAACGTTTCCACAAATATTTGCAAGATTTTTTAATATTTTATGATTATTTATTTAAAGCGATTTTTTAATATTTTATGATTTTTTAAAGTGATTTTTTAATATTTTATGATTATTTAAAGTGATTTTTTAATATTTTATGATTATTTATTTAAAGTGATAAAATCTTATAAAGATAATGACTGAATAATAATTTCTTATTTAGTTGTTTTATCTTGTATTCTTCACTTTTTATTTATATAAATACATTGATATTGTTTTTTTTAATCCTTGCAAATAAAAAAAACTTTAGTTTTCATCAGCGGTTAACTGTCATTTTATTGATCTGAACCAAAGTAGTGTAATGAAATTTTTCTGACCCCAGCTCAATTTTAATAGTCTGATGTGCAAATACTACAATCTCGCTCTAACAAAAAAAAAAAAAAATGTACTGATGTAGACCTGACGTGTTATCTGGGCTACTAGGATGTCAAAATAGAATTCAATCATATACCATCAATATTTGCAGAATGTTTTTGATTGAAAAGATTTAAAAAATAAATGCACACTTAGTTTTTATACAAAAATTAAAACAAAAAAAAAATAATTTTTTTTAGGTATTTCAAACCCAAAGGTGGGTTATATAATCCTGTTGTTGCGTTATATATAAAACAAGTTGTTTTAATTTGGAAACCAGGTCAATAATAAAACTGTAACATCTTGGAAACTGTTCAATATTCTAGACCATATACTTGTGTGTAAACTTTTTTTTATTGAATCTAATAGCCAAAGAAGTTTATAGAAGTTTCAAAAAAATATAAAAGGACCCATAATTCTGAATTCCCTAAAATTTGGGTACTTGACAAGGAACCATTTATAAAAAATATAAAGAAATTTATATGTAACCAATACTTTTATGAGTGAATTTAATAATACAAAAATCTTATTATAAAATTGTTTGCTGTATTAGTTAAAAA